TTTCCTGGAAATTGAGTTAACTGAAAAAACCCAAGTTCGAAGTGTGTGTAACCCTTGGAGTCATAGGGATGTTTTTGCATTTATTTTTTTGTTTTATCGCAGGGGGATGCCGGGGATTTCCATGGTCGGCATCCAACGAAGACACCATGGATTTCCTGTCAGGGACGCCTGACTCACGTACCTGCTTTTTCCTTGTACTGAATGGCATGAGGCTAAGCCCAGGACCTCAATAGCTGCAGACATGCACGGAACGCCGTCAACCTGTCGCCTCGTCGGTTCGTGGCCTTTAACTACAGGAACTCTGGTCCCCTTCACCTGGTTTTTCAGGATTTGGGTCTCTTAGGCCGGCGTGTGGCACCGCAATCAAGTCAGTACGCATATCCATGAGTGTGTTTGGCTTCGCGCCAACCCGGGATGAGCCCGCAGAGTGCCTCCCGTGGACCCGTCGAACGGGTGTATGTCGACAGTATCCATTGCCCGGATACAGAGCAGCTCGCAGCGAGCGTAGGTGGCCTAGGCCGTACGTCCGATGATTTTTGTCCCATCTTTGGAATTCCAAGTTGGCTCATGCCTTTACGTGACCGCAGCGGTCAAAGCAGCCAGCCATTTCGGCAGGGCACAAGGTGACCAGAGCGGTCAAAGTATTTTGAGGTTCATTGGAACCTGTCGCGAGCTTAGTCCCCCCCTCCTCCCCCTTCCCTTCCCCTTTCTTTCTTTGCTTTCTGGGGTGTTCCTGAATGGAATACTCAGGATCTCCCCTCTCTTTCTTTGGTGTGTCCCTGGACGATTGTTTGTAGCTGGGAACACCTTCCTTTCTCTCCTCTCCCTCTCTCTCCCTCTCTCTCTTTCTTTCCTTCTCTCTTTCCTCTCTTTTCCCTCTTCCTTGGGTGTCCCTGGATGCTTTCGTCATAGCTGGGAACCCTTTTCCTTTCTTCCTTTGGTGTGTCCCTGGACGCTTGTGTCGTAGCTGGGAACACCTTCTTCCCCTTTTCTTTCTTCTCTTTCTTTTTCTCTTCTCTCCCTACCCCTTCCTCCCGTCGGGACCTTAGTGTGGGTTGCTACTAGGGGCTCCTGGCCTTTCTACTAGGACGCTACTTTGGTGCTTCTAGGGGTTCCTGGCCTTACTACTAGGCGCAACAATGCTCTAGGGCAGAGATGCCTCCCCTCGGGGAGGCGTGTGTGTGTAACCCTTGGAATCATAGGGATGCTTTTGCATTTATTTTTTTGTTTTATCGCAGGGGGATGCCGGGGATTTCCATGGTCGGCATCCAACGAAGACACCATGGATTTCCTGTCAGGGACGCCTGACTCACGTACCTGCTTTTTCCTTGTACTGAATGGCATGAGGCTAAGCCCAGGACCTCAATAGCTGCAGACATGCACGGAACGCCGTCAACCTGTCGCCTCGTCGGTTCGTGGCCTTTAACTACAGGAACTCTGGTCCCCTTCACCTGGTTTTTCAGGATTTGGGTCTCTTAGGCCGGCGTGTGGCACCGCAATCAAGTCAGTACGCATATCCATGAGTGTGTGTGTGTGTGTGCGTGCGTGTGTGCGCACACACCTTGGATTCAATTTGGATTCAGAGGCTACCAGGCTACCCTTTGGTAGATTGTTTTTCTTTTGAGCAAGGGGCCAGCACATGTCATCACGACGCTGGCCAACGAAGCTAGTCTCAAGAGCACACTGACTCCCATGGTTCTCCCCTGCTTAGGCCAGGCTGCTTCAGGTACGACGGGTCGATGTAAAGTGCTAGGGAGCTCGGCTGACTTGCTCTCTTGACCTGTTGATCTTAGAAGATTTGGAACTTGGAAGACTTAGAGCTTTTGTTTCCGTCAGGCGCCTCTCCGATTGATACTTTCAGGTTTTATACCCCTTGGGTTCTCAGGTTTCATACCTAGGTCGGCGTGTGGCAAACCGCATTCAACTCAGTACGCAATGTCCCGAGTGTGTGTGTGTGTGTGTGGGCGCGCGCGCGCGCGTGCTTCTTCCACATGAAATCAAAGCCGAACTCCTTTTACTTCTAGATTCTTTCCATCTAAGCAGCTGCCCCTTCCGGCCAGGCCTTTCACTCCGGAGCACGTCCTTTTCGCTCGGCACTATATCCAAGTTCCAGGCATCGATGCGCTCCAAAGCCAGTCTCAATTTCCCTGCCTTCAGAAGCTTTTTCACGAAGGGCACGCGTTTCCTCGGAGAATTGTCACAGGCTATGATTGCACCGATCTCCTGGCAAGAAGGGCATATTGGAACATACTACAGGAAAATTAGCAGCAAACACCGACCCGGTGTCATGGGTTTAGTAGCGAATCTGTCCATTTGTGCCTCCTTGTTCTTCGGGCCAGGGAATTGCATCAGTCATCAGCCATAAGGAATTGTTGCAGCTCAAAGCTGCTGGGCTTATGTTGAACATTGGCTTGCATGCATGGCTCTTTGGCATTCTGTTTGGTTCTTGGCTTTCGAGTGAACTACAGCCACTTCAAAACATATTGTTAAGGCCCGACTTTCCCAGGTCTGACGAGTCGAACTCTGAACTCTGTGTGAAGAATGCATGACAGTGGACGTTGACCGCTTTCCTTGCTGCTTGAACGTTGGTTGTGGACGCCGCCGCTTTTGCACACTAGACATCGATGTTGGCAAGCTTGAAAACAGTGCTTTTTGTTTTTGCTTTTTCGCGGTGTTCGCACACACTTTCATTTGCACTGCGGTCTTTTGTGGTTGCACCCCGAAGACGGTTCTTGGGGGTGGCGCCCCATTCAATCCACATTGGTAGCAGAGCCCTGAGGGGCAGTAGGTTTGGGGGATACAACCTTCACCTCGCCCTCTTGCGAGAGCCATGGCCGAGCCGGCCCATGGAGCAGCGGCGGATGCAACTTCGCCGCCTGTGCTGCCTGCGGCAGCTGATGGTGCAGAGCAGCTGGATGGTGCAGCCGTTCCTCTACCACCTGAGGATCCATGGCAACAAGGGGTGATCCCTGGAGTGGTGTGCCTCTGAATGCAAAAGGATCGGAGCTGGGCAAGGGCACAGAAAAGGATTCTGTGCATACTGCTGGAAGCTTCGTAGACCCAGAGCGTCAGAGACAGAAAGGAAAAGGGAAAGGTGGGGAAGAGAAGGGAGGGAGTTCACAAACAGCACCAATGGCAGTCGATGCAACCTTTCCTTCACAAAGCAGCGTTCCATGCAACATGTCACCACCACCATGGACTGCACCCACACCCATGCCAGCAGAGCACGGAGATACGATCGCACCACCATGGGGTCATCCATCCATCTATGGACCAGGGTTTGGCTTTTTGGGACAGACTGCACAAGGGTCTGTACCACCGACAGCTCCAGTGGCATCCATGCCGCCTATGCCACACGGTGGACCACCTGGCTTGACACCACAGGTGCCACTCATCCCTTGTTTTCCAGGAGCACAGCCGTGGGTGATGCCAGATTTTGCATGGCTGCAAGGACAGCCAGTGACAGGCACACCAGCTGCTACCAGTTCGAATGGTTCCTGGTCCAAGCCCACTGGATCAGATCCTGCACCTAAGCCGTCGAAGAAGAAAGAAGCCACTAAGGTTCCATCCAATGCACCGGGAGGTGATCCAATGGGGTCAGAGCCAGAGGACCCCGACGATGATGCATCACAGAAGTCTTCCTCAGCAGCGACCTCCGACATCAAGTCAATGCTGAAGCGGAGGCTGCGCCAAGAGGACGGGTACCACCCAAAGAGCTCATTGGGCTCTGTGAAGGTGGAAGAGTTCTATGGAGACAGGACCCGATACCTCAAATGGAAGCACACCATTCAAGCCCAGCAGCACCTTTATGCCTGTCTGAGATGCAGAGGTTGCGTGCTCAATATAGCAGAGTTGACCCGGAATCCAAGATCTCCGACATGGCATGGGGTCAGAAGCTGTTGCAAAGAGCCTCACTATCCCGCAGGGAACGGCATGACGTGTACTATGCTGCAGGAGCTTGTTTCCACAGTGCGGCCATTGAGAAAGCACTCAGTGTGAGATGTGGCCGCATTCATGAAGATGAAAAGAGAAGCAGCTACAAGTACACGGACGACAAGCCCCCAGGACATCGACCGAAAGGCCAGCACTTCTTCAAGAAGAAGGTGATTGTCAAGAAGCAACGGCACTCATGTCGCTGAGCCAGAAGGAGAGTTCGGAGAAGAAGACTTTGAAGAGCCTGGAGCAGAAGAAGATGAGGAGGCCATGGAGGTCCTCTTTGAAGATGAATTTGAGCCAGGCGATGAAGAAGAAGTGGAGGATGGTGAAGAAGATGTTAGAGACTGAGGAGTTGAATGGAAGGGGGATTCTTGTTGCCCCAATGTCATGAGCGGAAGAGATCAGCCTCATGTCCCATCGTCCGGAGCCAAGAAGGTAGCACAGACCGTCCACTTCACCTTCATGACGGGAGGAGGCTATGGCTATGAAGATGAGGCTCCACCCATTGGACATTGCCGCCCATGCAGATGGCCTGTTCCAGAAGGACAGAAGTTTTGTGGTCAGTGCGGAGCCACGCAGCCCATGGAAGCCCGAATGTCAACTCACAAGAGAATGAAGGAGGAGGTAAAAGAAGAAAGTGAGTTGTGGGATGTGGTGGAGCCGCCAGTTCCTGCTCCACCATTCAGCTTTGAAGTGCCCAGAAGTACTGCGATTGCAGCTGCAGCTATGAACCCCGGAAGCGGCTCGAAGGGGTGTGGATCCGTCAAGATGCAGAGGAAGTTCTTGCTGCACTGCCTAGCATGTCAAAAGAAGAGAAAAAAGGCTGCAGGGAGGAAGAAGATCAGACAGCCTTTGAAGAGCTGCGAAGATTGAAGATGTGCCAAAAGACCATGGAAGAGTACTGTCCAGAGTTTGGCAGCGATAAGAAGTGGAACTGGGAGTTCGAAGAGCCGGCAAGAAGAGAAAGGGCAGAAGCAGCATCAGCAAGCCAGGGACCTATCACGCCGCCAAGAATTACTCCACCAAGGAAGGATGATTCGCCGCCCAAGCCTCTTCGTGATCAAGAACTTCGCACGCTTCGGCAATCTTTGTATGACCAGCAGGTCAAGGGTGGATGCTTGAAGCCTTCACAAGCGGCACCGACTCCAACTGAAAAGCAAGCTCAGTGTCGTCATCCCTTTGAATCCCGAGGTGGAGCGGCAACCAAGATGGACACTATGCAAAGTGCAAGGACTGTGACATGAAGAGTGTCATCTATTGGACTTCAAAACATGGAGCTCTCATGGTGCCCTTGGCGCATGAACGCCCAGAAGGATTGGCACCGATGACTACACCGGTGAAGAAGTGGGACTACAAGAGCCGTTGGGAGCTTGGCATGCCCAGTTGATCACGGAGTTCTGGTATGTTGAGCCGACTCAAGTGCAGATCTACAATCTGGACAAGAAGAAGATGCCGCCACATTTGCAGACCCCTGGGCTGGCCATGGCAGACTCAGGTTGTCGGAATGCTGTCGGTGGCCTGCTATGGCATCAAGCCTTCCGGCACGCCCTCAAAGACTTGAAAGTCCCATGAAGTGAAGTTGATGAACATGAAGTATACCGTTTTGGTGCAGGAGCTCCAGTCGTCAGCCAGAAGGCATGCCTTTACCCTGTTCTCATTCATGGACAGTGAGACATTTTGCGCATGTCCATCGTGCAAGGAGAAGCTCTCAACTGCCCAGGACTTGTCTTCCCTTTCGATGAGAAGGAGTTGGAATTGCATGGAAGCAGCCGACCTATGGTGCTCACTGGACTATGGAAAAGAAGAAGTGAAGCCCGGCAATTTTGGAAGTCAAAGGAAGGTGAGCAAAGAAAGACAGAAAGTGTTGAAGGAAAATCCTCAGTCCCTTTCCTTTGTGGCAGGTGATGGCCAGACAGAGTCTGAGGAGACCGAAGAAGAACAAACGGAAGAAGAAGAAGGAGAAGTGCCATTCCGTGAGAGGAGGATGCAAGCATGGATGGACAAGCTGCAAGAAGATTTGGGCGTTAAGATCATTGACGAGGTGGCCACGGAGGAGGAAGAGAGTGCATCCACTGAGCCAGATGATGCTTCCTCATCATCACATGAGGCGGGGGTCGAACCCATCTCAAGCTCAGAGGAAGAGGCCCATGAAGAGGATGCCAAAGAAAGGGAGGGAAGTGCAAGGTCCAAAGAAGAAAATGAATATGCACCTCAAGAGGAAGTTGGGACATCACATGCACGAGATTGGAGTGGCCTTCCAGGAAGAAAAGGAAGAAGAAGCACCAGTGAAGGAAGTGTTTCTTCAAAGGAAAGTCCGGCCAACACGCAGCAGATGGCCAGTGTTGGAAGTCTTCACATGGACTTGTACGATTTCCCTGGTTGCGGCCGCTCGTCACTGGCAGTTCCATGATCCAGTGACTTTGCCAAGGTGGGACCTGATGAAAGAGAAAGACTATGAAGAAGCCTTGGCCTACATTGACCGGGTGGATCCAGACTTGCTTGTTTTGGCATGGCCATCTGGGCCATGGGGCCCACTCCAAACACTTGGTCAGAAGACGCCCTTCCAAAGAGCCGCCAAGCTTGTGCAAAAACGTGAAGAAAACAGGATGTTGTTGAGGTTCGTGAGGGATGCAAGCCTGGCCCAAAGGAAAAGAGGAGGTGCACTTCTGGGTGAGAACCCTAGACCGTCGCATGGAAGGAACCTCTCATTAAAGAAGCCTTCAGTGGCACCTCCATGGCCGTCTGTGACACGTGTATGTTCGGCCTTCGAGTACCAGATGGTCCTCACCTTCGGAAGAGAACGCGGCTCCGAGGTACAGAGGAGATCACCAAAAGGTGTGAGAAGCTTTGTGACAAGAGCCATGAACACACCCCGCGTTGGAGGTGTCAAGATCCATGGAGCTTGGATGCCGCTGTCTGAGTATGCTGGAGGCTATAACACCAATTCTGCCAAAGAGGTGGCCTTGGGGGCAGAACAATTCCTGAAGAAGAAGCGGAAGCAAAGAGAAGTGATGGTAGAAGGAGGTGAGATGGCCGAAGAACAAATTCTGGAAGAAGAAGAAGAAGAAGAACACGAAGAACAGAAAGAGCCCCATGAAGAAATTGAAGAAGAAGAGATGAAGAAAGGAGCAAGAGGATGGAAAGTGCCCAAGATTCCCCAACGTCCTGGACATCGTGAGGATGTTGACTCTTGCTGGAGCACCAAAGGAGATGATCGACCTGGCAGGGCGTTATGATTGCCCCCCATTTGTGCACAAGTCAGTGCACCCTCCAGGTATCCGAAGATCAATCCAGTCACTCGGACCTCTGTTTTTGCCAAAGATGTGCATTTTGGACCTCAAGTACATGCACGATGCAGCCAACAAGCTCCATGTCACTTTGAGCTTGGTTGATGGTGGCATCGCAAGGTTGACTATGTGGCCAAGATATTCCTTCGACATTGGTGTTCCATGTATGGCACACCAGCCACCGTATACATTGACCAAGGATGCGAATTTGATGGTGCTTTCAGTTGGCTGGAAATGCACGGCATTCACTCCAGGTGCACCGGAGCTAGGGCAGGGTGGCAGCATGGATTCTCAGAGTGTCATGGAGGTCTTCTCGGACATGCCTGGCATGCCATCATCTGGCAGTTCAAAGCCAAGGGACGCTCAGAGATGAAGGAGGCCCTTGCATGTGCCATCCAGGCCAAGAATCAGACCATCACCAGGGGAGGGCTCACCCCCTATCAAATGGTCTTCGGAAGAGCACCCTTGTTTCCAGATCTCTTGGAAGAGGACAGCACCGGCAACATGGCCTTGAGGGAGTCACTCAGCACTGAAGGTGAGGTTCGAAGTGCAGAAATGAGAGCGGCAGCAAAGATTTCGTTGATGAGGCAAGATTGTCAAGACAAGCTGAAACGAGCTCTCAGGAGGTGGCCCCGTGGATCAATGAAAGATTTCACACCAGGTGAAATGGTCTTTTTCTATGTCCCTCAGCCCACAGCCAAACGTTTTCGAAGAGAAGCTGGGCGATGCTTGCTGGTGGCCGCACCCAACCTCCGTCCATGCTCTGAGCTAGAAGGATGTGATTTTCAGGGCCGAATGGAAGAGTTGGACAACTTGCAAGACAAGTGGCCTGCAAACAAAGAGTTAGAAGACATGACACAAGTCCCTCCACCTCCGGAAGAAGGTCAAAAGGAAGAAGTGATCGGTTGGCAGCCGCAGGAAGAAGTCATAGTGCAAAAGACAGGAGGATGGAGTAAAGCCAGGGCAAAAGAGATTGCCAAATGCTTAAAAGGCTTGAGGAAAGTTCAGAAGACAATCAAGAAGGAGAAAGGGCATAAAGGAAGAGTCCATTATTTGGTATGTATATAGAAGTGAGGAAGGAAAAGAAAGAAGACAAGAAGAAGCCCGAGGAGAAGATAGTGCCCATAGAAGAAAAAAGTGTAATCGAAGAAAAGGAAGAGAAGAATGAACAGATGAAGATGACTGAACAGCATCTCAAAGAAGCGGTGACAAAGGTTTTGGGTGCTGAAGATAGTGAAGGATTCAAGAAAAGGCTAAGAGAGCACCTCCAAGATGATGCCCCCTTCAGTATGAAGCAGCGAAGGACAGATGAAGTGAAGAGTGGACTGACAGAAGCCGGACTTCAACAAAGGTTCACACCAGAGGTGATGCACTGCACCATGCTCAGCCTAGTGGCAGAAAAAACAAAATCCAATGAATGGGCATCCAAACAAGAGGTGAAGAAGATCGCTGACCTCTTGGACCTGCCCATCACAAGTATGCGATACCATATCGCACCACGGAAGAGGTTTCAAAGCCCACCAAGACCGAGAGAGGCCGCATCACCCTGATGTTTGGAGCAGCTTTGGTCTGTCAGGAGGATGAAGAGGAAGTGAGGACAAGGCCTTCTTTGTCAGGGAACAGAAAAGGAAGCCAAAAGAAGGAAAGGTGCTGGTGGAGTTGCCAACTGGCATCTATGAAGTGCAAGTTGAAGATGTAGAAGAGTGGATGAGGCTGCGAAGAGAGGAAGAAGATCAGCAGACATTTCACGAAGCCTACTTGCTGGTCAACAAGCAAAATGGAAAGGAGCTCGATTCTCGACACTTCAACGCTGAAGAAAAGGCAGCCTTCGATGAAAGCGATGCCAAAGAATGGACCTCATGGATTGACAACCGGGTGGTCCGAAGACTTAGTGATGAGGAAATCAAGGACTTGAACCCTGATAACATTTTCAGGGCACCAGCTTGGCTCATCCGAGTCAATAAAGCTGCGCTGCATGGCGGGTTCCAAGCGAAGTCGAGACTGGTGGTTCCAGGACATCAAGATCCCCACCTCGGCTCCTACAGGTCAGATGCACCGACCACCACATGGTCAGCAGTCCAGGTGACCAAAATCATAGCCCTAACGAAGAAGTGGGCGGCCTCATGCTTTGATGTGAGCACAGCGTTCCTTTCAGGGAAGCCAGTGGTCATCAAGGCGCCACCTGAAGGGTTGCCAGCTGTCAGAGATGAGCCACCAGTCCGACCCTTCGAAGTTTTGATGTTGTGCAAGTCTGCATATGGGCTCTCAGACGCACCAAGGCTTTGGTATCTCAAAGCCAAAGAGCTTTTGGAAGAGATCGGCTACCTCGAGCTGGATCTATGCAGAGCAACATTCATCAAGAAGGAGGGCACTGAAGTGATTGCCATCTTGTGTCTCCATGTTGATGATGGTCTCTTTGCCACCGCCCCAGAACGGATGGTAGCTGCCCAGAAGGAAATCAGCTCCAAGTTCAACATAAAGGAATGGCAGAACATGGGTGACAAACCAATCACCTTCCTGGGAGTCAGGACCACCAAGGAAGGCCAGTGCTTCAAGGACAACATGGCTGAGTATGTGGAAAAGATCCAGCCGGCCGAAGTGAAGACTGGGAAGGCAGACCGACTGGCAGGTGACCAGCTGTCAGCCTATAGGCGCCTCATTATGCAACTGCGCTGGCCGGCCCACTTGACCATGCCGGAGTTCTTGTATCGAGCGAGCGCCTTGGCACAGAAGGTCGCAACGGCAGTCGTGAGGACTTGAGCAACGCCAACCAGTTGCTAGTGGCTATGAAGAAGGCTGCAGCGGAGGGTGGAGCAGTGAACATGCTCCATGCAGTGCCAGGAGAAGCTTTGTTCGTGTCGTATTTCGACGCCAGCCTTGGAAAGAGTGAGGCCATGACGGCCCAACAAGCTGAAGTCCACTTCCTGACGGAGGTGGATGTGGAGAAAAAGCCCACCAAGGCCATCCTGCTGGAGTTCCACAGCAGCAAAGTGCACCGTGTGGTGCGCTCGAGTCTTGCAGCTGAGAGCTGCGCCATGACCTCCGCGGCTGACAAGATCCTCTACAACCGAGCTTTGTTTGGAGCCCTCTTTCATTGGCAAGAGGTGGTCACGCCACAGTGGAGGCATCATCATCACAAATGCCAAAGGTCTCAACGACCATGTGAGTAAAACTGGCAGTATGGCCTGCGAGAAGCAGGCAGCACTCGACATGTTGATGGTGAAGTGCCTCGTGGAGGACCAGGTGTTGCGGCTTCGTTGGGTCCCCACCTGGAAACAGGTGGCAGATCCTTTGACAAAGGATATGTCCACCGAGCTTTTGAAGCAGTTCCGACAAACTGGAAAGCTTTGCTTGGTGGAGACAAAGGAGGACCAGGTGGAGGAAGCTAGACGTGCTAAAGGGAGAGGCACAAGCAGCGCATGGTTCGAGCAAAGCAGCAAGGAAACACTCATTTTCTTTGATGTGAAGAATGCATGACAGTGGACGTTGACCGCTTTCCTTGCTGCTTGAACGTTGGTTGTGGACGCCGCCGCTTTTGCACACTAGACATCGATGTTGGCAAGCTTGAAAGCAGTGCTTTTCGCTTTTGCTTTTTCGCGGTGTTCGCACACACTTTCATTTGCATTGCGCCTTGGTGGTTGCACCCCTAAGACGGTTCTTGGGAGTGGCGCCCCATTCAATCCACACTCTGAACATCTCTGAACTCTGCAAACCTCAGAGCAAAGGACCCCTGCCTTGCCCTCTCCCTTCACGCAAGCATCCATCAAGCGACCTTTCAGTTGCCTGATTTTGTTGGTCACGTTCATCCGCTCAGCTACAAGGATCGCCGGCTTCAGGTACCCTCGCTGGGCCATGCCGTCGATGACGCGCTCCGCGGTGACCCCCGAGCCACGGGCGATCTCTGGGAATCGGGTCAGCATGAGGACCAAATGCTCACCATCCGACCCATTCGTCTGGAGCTCACCACACACCGCGCCCAGAGCCAAACGCTGGGTCGTGTTGGAGACATCCGCCTCAGTGACCTTGAACCACTCCAGTAAGCGAATGGCAGTTGCTTTGCAAGTCTCCTGCTTCCAGAGCTTCAGGGAAATCGTTAGCACCTTTTGCCGGAGCTTGGGGCTTGACCTGGGCCACCTGGGCCGAAACTCCACCAAAAGGCCAGCCGTTAAACCGGCCAAGGACCGCTCAGGTGCAAGCAAGTCGGAGATCTCCTGGAAAGCAGGATGTTTTCTTTGCACAACCAGTGCTTTCTGTCACAACCTGGGTTGTTCCCCTTGTTAATTTGGGTCAGTTCTCTTTCACCACTCCAAAAACGATTGTGTTGAGGCTTCCCCCATTCAAGAATCATGGTCGCAAACACACAGGGACAGGCATTTTACCTGCAACTTGTCTTGGTTAAGCTGTTCTGCTCCTCCATGCACTGAAGCAAAAAGTTCGGCGCCGCGGACTGATTGACCCAGGTATTCAAAACATCCAAACTCCTCTCTCGTCTTGTTGGGTCATCTTCCAGTGACCTAAGGACCTTGACAAAGTCCTTCGGCTGGCGACCAGGCACAAGGACAATGAGGAGTCCAGCATGACCTGTCCCCTCAGTTCGCCATCTCCAAAGCCAGGCTCCCAATATTACAAGCAGCAAATGCCCGGCACGGTGACTTGGAGCTCTTCTTTTGGACATACTGCACATAGCCATGGCGCCAAGGATTTGCTAAGGTATTAGGATCTGAGCATCAGTGCAGAGCACTGCATGGAGAAGAGAAGAAAAGCAGAACATATCATACAATATCTGCAACTATATACAGTGTATATATATATGGAGAGAGAGAGAGAGAGAACCTTCAATTCCCACGAGGTTTGGCCAAACAAAGTCAAATTATTGCGGTGCAGAGTCCAGAGTCCAGGTAAGCAACCCGTGCTCTGAAAGCCAAGAGTTGCGCCAAAGTTCTCATGTTCTTGACGTCTCGCATCCATCTAAGCTTGATCCACTCCATGAAGGTGCTCCTTCCCTGCGTCCCTCCTTGCTTGGCCACTGACATCCCAAACCCACGGGCGCCTGCCCTACATACTGGACGATGGCTCCAGAAGATCGCTCGATCTTCTTTCGGGTGCCACCCTGATGACTTCTGAAGCTTCACGTTGAGTAGCACTATTCTGTGCAAGTCGGGGCAATACTGGTGCAAAGCTCAGTTCTGCTGCTCAGTTCTGCTCGCCTGCTTCCCTAGCGCATATGACAACTCGTCATCTTGAAATTGCATCGTGTCCTGGGCAACAAGCACTCAGCTGGTCATGCAGCATTATTTTACCACATGAGCTACTGCGGATGTGATCTCATTGTGGGGCCCGGTCAGTCAACGGGTGAATGACAACTTGAGAACGACACGGTTCCCAACTGGCCCTAGCATTGCAGAGTGCATACAGCTCCTCAACCCACTTCAATTTGTCTGTGCTGGCTAAAAACACGTGTCTGAATGCAGCTTGGATTCGGTACCCCAGCTACCATCTTCATAATCCGTGCCTTTGTCGCGAGGAATGACCTCACAAGTCCATGATGCATCGCAAGTCCCAAAAGTGGAAGGGACCTTTTTCGGACTCGATGACCTCGAGAAACATTACAAAACTAATCGTTTTTGCATAGTACAACACCATGGCAACCCATGGCATCTCAATCATTCACTCTTTTCAGGTATTTGATGCTTCGGTGCCCGCGCATCATCACGGATCTTGTCGAAGTATCCAGGGACTTTGGTCTCAACCGCGCTCAACACCTCCATCGGAACCCACCCAGCGAATGATTGACTGGCACCCGACCGACAAGGTGACAAAGTCTCAACAAACTTTTTTGAGGGTAGCTTCCCCAGTAGCTTCTTGTTACTATTGCTAGTGGCCATGGCCTCCAACCTAATAGCAATGGCCTCCACCTAGTAGCTTCTAGCTACTATGGTTTCAAGCTGGGATAAAAGCGGATCAACACAACACGACTTCGTGTAGGGGATTCGGATGCACTCTTCCATCAATCAGTGAGGTCCTTCACGTACAATGAATGAGGAATTGGGTAGGCCAGTCCAACATCCAAAAAACAACAACTGCGAGTACCAGCCTTGAGCTCTGCACCACGGCGCGCACGCACGTCACCAAAAATGGCCAACTTCTCATATTCCTGCCCCAAGTTGGCGGGCCCAGTTCAGAGGATTTGTGCATAAATGGATCGATCGATCGTGATTGGCGCAAATGCCAGCTCAGGCCGCTGCCCATCCGATCACAAAAATCGATGAGAGAAAACGAAGCACCGCATCTGGAGTCCCGCCTTGCTGCGAGAGCGTGAGCTCTCCACCTCCACAAAGAACCTGGACACAGCCGGTTGCCCACGCATCGATGAGAGGTGTGGGATGCATATCTGAGAGGAAATTCAAAAATGGGATGAGGAAAATGACAGGCAGGATGCCTTGGACGCTGGGGAGCAGGCCTCAACGAGAAAGAAACGCATCTGAGGGCGGCGCATGAGCGTTCCCCACTCTTCTTCAATGGTCCGCAGGAAGTTGCCTGCCTCGGTAGCGGGATCCTGCAGGGAACTCCTGCGGCATCGAGGCAACAACAAACATGGACCCTCCCACCGGTCAGGCTTTTGCAACCATGGTGCTCGGCCAGTGACGAAACCAACTGCCTCCTGTGGCACCTGGCCAAGAACAGGGTAATAATTAATAGATCCTTGCTTCGATATTCTGGAAGTTCTGGCCGTGCTATGCCGTGCTCTTCTCCGCTAGATTGTTGGAATCTGAGATGAACTTAGTATAGCTGGTCATTCGCTGTGCTTCTTCGCCCATGAACACCGCATGGAACCCGCTTCTCGTGTGGGTCGTGTGAGTGGTCCCGGCCGCTCGCCCACGCGCCGCTTTTGGGCTCACCCGGAGCATCGTCAAGTCGCCGTCGTTGTAGTCCTCGTGGACGGTGACCGGCCTGAGGGTCGTGCGCCGTCGGATCGGACGAACACGAAGGGCCGGGAGTCCGTCGATCTCAAGGGCCAGACCCGGTCCGTTGTGCCATCACGCCTCCAGAGCCGTACGGGTTGAAACAGGTTTTTCTGGAGCCCGAAATCCGACTGACAAGAAACTGTTTGTTTTGTTGGCGCTTGAGGCACTTGCACTTCTAGGGTTGATTGTTCTTGTCTTCTCTTGGATTTCCTCGATTTGGACATCTCTGTGGAGAAGTGTGCGCTATCGGTGCACAAGCCAAGGCAATGAAAGGTGGCGAATGGTAAAGCAGCAGGAATGACCCGCAAAGAATTTCTCAGCATTCCGAAAAGGCTGTCTTGACTTTCCGAGCAGTGGAGCTAGCAAAACCCTAGGAACTGTTCCAGACCAAGCACGAACATCACCAACTTCCAAAAGCCTGATGAAGTTCTGAGAGTTCCCGTCCACACCACGTTCTCCCCATGTTCTACCGCGCTGTTCCCGCTCCGACTCTGCGCCTTCCGCGTACTTTTTGGCGCGGCGGCGCTGCAACTTGGAGCCACGGATTTCCAAGACGAGGTCTCGCTCAAAGAGCTCCTTGGGTCCGATGGAGACGGCGTTTGGTCCACAAGGTTCAATTGGGGCATCTGGAAGTCTGCAAAGTGCGTGCACCTGTTTCTTCATACATGTTGATCACCACTGATCATTCACAAACAGTCTTCTTAGTTGGGCCTGATCGGGCATGGGCTTGGTTTCAGGTACTGATGGCACAAACAACAATGCCGAAGTCGGGGAGCAGTAGTGGTGAGCAAGTCAAGTTTGCTGGCTGGTTTGTCATGTTCGCTACAGAAGTCAGCCCACAAACATCACCACCCAGTAGCCCTTGCAAGCTTTCAGCCGAGGAACAATTTCCGCGCCAGAAACTCTGGCGATTTTCTCCTTTCAAACAGATTCAGCCAAAGGAAGTTCTGAAAGCGAAACGGTGAATGTTGGGATTTGGATGGTTTTGGAGCAGAATTGTGCCACAAAGTGGCCAAATTCAGCACCACCACCTCCCAAATAAAGTCAGAACCTATCTGAACAAGTTGTTATTTTCAAGCATGATCGGCCCCATAATAGTTGCCCCACCAACAGTACACCCCTCAACTGAACATCATCCACATTGGCAGCGAACCCTCAACTTCACCGAGTTGGACATTGAGTTGCCGGCTTTGGTCTTGCCGCCCTTGCCCAGGATAAAGGCTGCATCATCATCGGTGATTTTCATGGAATCGACCTCAGCCCATCTTGAGATGCTCTCGCCAAAGTGTGTAGATGTATTCACAGTTCAGCAGAAATTGCTTTACAAAGTAGAACTCTCTCGGAATACAGGTCCGAAAGGTCCGGGCTCCATAATCATCCGGTCTTTTGGTTTTTCCCTGCGTCAACCGGAGTTCGGACATGTTTTGGTTCCCCTTCGCATTTAGAGCACGACAGGCATTTTTACAAGGATTCGATGAAGAACAAAAAACTATATATTTTTGTATGTATGTGTATATATATATATAGTGTCACGTTCCTCATGAACCACGGCATCTGTTGCTTGCGCGAGCCATGAAAAACAGGGAAGCGGCTCACGCACCAAGCACCTTGTAGGCTCACTTTTGGGGAACGAACCCCCCCGAAGGAGTCAACCTGCCTGTGACTTGCTGCGGCTTCTACTGTCCTTTCTTCGGGAGCGACTGCGGCTATCCTGGCGTGGCGCTTTCACCAACCAACGGCAGTGGCTGAAGTTTTGTTGCAAGAAACGCAAGGTAAACACAACATGTTGAAAGAACCTACACTGTTGTCGCAAAAAATATCCCAGCACGTTCTAGTTCTAGTGATGGCCTTCCCCCTATCGCGGCTGCGGCTGCCTGGGCGACACATGCCGGTTTGGAAAACATGTTCTTTTCCACTGTTCCACCAAAACTGGTCACAAAATGAGGTTGAGAGCCGCGCGGTCCCCCATTTTGGGGCCAACGCACAATCTGTAGCTGAGCCCTATGTCTGCAGTTCCAACCATCAACTGGAAGCCGTGAAACACCCATGCTGCACAATGCGACCCTGCTTCGGGGGACGGGGACAGAAAGACTGCCACAAAAAGAAAGTCACGACATCACGACATGTGCAAAATCAAGGCTTTTTGAGATGTGACCATGCTAGTGTTGGGCACTGGTGAAATTCGCACTGGTCTTTTGAAGTGAGATTTGGGTCCCAATAGCATCAGAAACACCTGGGTTAGCACGGGACATGTTTTTCTTGAGCCATTTGAGTCATTTGCCTTTGAGACCGTGCGAGCTAGGGCTAGGGTCAAGACTATTGAAAGTAATAGGTGGTCAGTCGGCGGTCGTTGGCTCTCACTTCACCCGTTGTGCTTCTCCACAACCAATAACACCCTCATCAACAAACAGTTACGAGATGGACATGGAAAGCGATGATACAGCGACCGTGACGAAACACATACGCAATAGGTCTTGGCTATCGCTCATGTGAAATCTAAATGTTTTCAGGCGGCGAATCGGAGTCAAGCAACTCCTGCTGTTGCGGCTCCGGGTAAGCTCGCATCAAACTCAGTCACAGAAAGGTCAACCTAGCTACAAACAATTCGATGAGCATCAGGGGTCAAACAGGAGTTTCATTGAAGAAAAGGTGTTCTACACAAACGGGGGCGATGAAGAAGCCCAAAAACATCCAAGGCCCAAACCACTGACTCACTGACTCACTAAAGTTCCAACAATGAGAGAGCAACTCACTAAGTTCCAAAGCCTGTTTGTTTTTTGGTTTTGCTTCTCTCCGAACGAACCATCGATCCAAGCAGATGCATCCGACTTTGGATTGAATCGTTTTCAGCGAAGAGGAACACGCAAACAGTCATCGCTGGCCAGCACAAACTCCGGAATTGACACATCAATTGGATTCAATTGAGAGTTTCTGAGCACAAGATGACTTTAGCCATTCTAGCTAAGAAACAACGATTTAACCATCGCATGGAGCGACTGTAAGATGCCTTCGCGACAAGTATCCACACGGTCGCGAAAGATTCGCGAAAAATGTCGCTTTGTAAACGAGTCGCCCTTTGGATTTAATCTCATTTCCGATGCCAGCACGCACTCACATTTGGAATGGCGTGCATGTATATAACTGAAACATCCCGTGGTTCGTGTCGAAAAATGTTCTCCGTGAAAGCTTGCGAAAGTGAATTTGCACAGAATGCAGTGTGCGACAGCAAAACGCAAGCCACAAAAGTGCTGCAAAAGAAGTATGTGAAAGAAGAGTCCATTGGAACAAATCCTCGACAGGTTTTGAAGGATGTTCATGACGACTGTTGATTATCAAGGCCCCCCCACATGCAGATGTAAATCCAGTCTGGTGGGGGGGTATATGAAAGTCTACACGACTGGACCTCACTCCAATGCATTCCATCGCCCATTGCTTTGTCAAAGCCCCAGCTACGTTTATATAGTTTATTGCAATTTTTGTGGAGGTAGTTGCAACCCCCCAGAAGCCACCAAGCAAGCCAGCAAACTCCCTTTGTGCTGGTTCCGGGTGAAGTGATTTGACCAAGCCAGATTGCATCAAGTTTGCTGACAAACATTTTTGCATCACCATGTTGAAGCTGAAGTTGCCATGGGTCTAGGAATTTGGCCCTTTCCAAAGATTTGGTTGAGGCTTTCAGATGCCTCCTTGGTCATCGACACAGTTTTCCAATGACTTCAATTTCCGGCGAGCTATTGGCCAACCCCCTCGCGATTCACACAAAATCGCAGAACGGATTTACACAGATGTGCACAAAGCAAACGGATGACAAATTTTGTGAAAATATACTATTTCTATCTCTCCAGAAGTGTTTTCCCTGCAAGCGCTTTAGCAGCAATTCATGTTCCAGCTGCTGGTCAAAAGTTCAACGTGCATTTGTTGCCTCAAATGTGATCCACTTACCGGAGACAGCTGACCAGTTGTATGCACACAGTCTTCTTGTGGGGATGGGGCCTATTACAGCAGGCGTTGCAAAAACATTGCGGCGAAAAGCAAAACACAATGAGGTGGGTGAATGGACTTCTGAAGCATCAACGATCCCACCACCTCTGGCAAACCAAAGACTCCATATTGTGTTGTGTTTAAGCAGCCCGGATTGATTTGTGCACCTCCAAAGAAAAGGTTTTGCAAAATGCGGTTAACACCATACCGTGCTTGAGGTTTTTGCAGCATTGTTTTGTGGGTGGTTAGCTCGCTTTGTAGCGGCTGCCTCGTTGACGAAGGAGCGAAACAAGAAAGACCACCAAGGATTGGGAGCGGCTGGCCTTGTACAAATTTTGTTTTTTGTTGTTTGTTTTGTTTGTTGGAATGGTGCCATGCCGAGAGCACTAGGCATCGTCTTTTTGTTTTGCCGAGGCTGCCTGTGCAGCGCAAAAGTTCGCCACTCAAGGGCTTGGCCACCACAACGACATGGTTGCAAAGTTTTCGCACATATTCTAGGAATGTGATGAACTGACAGCTGATGCCAGGCCAGTCACCCCACCCTCCATACTTCGGAGCTAGCGTGGCAAGAGTCCTGTTATTTTACGTGGTTTGTCAACTGTGTTGCCGTGGGGCCTGCAAAACATCTCTCCGGTTTCTTTTCCGCGCCTTTTTGCCGCAGAAGGTCACGACTGCTTTTATACTAACCAGTCTCCAGCTGTGCATGGGCTGCTGTCTGTTTTTGTGCTGGCCAGTCTCCAGATGTGCAAAGTCCCATGGGTATTAGGTGCGAGGATGGGCCGTGGGGGTGAAATGTAAGGGGGTCACCCAGGTATGGCTCGGAGCCTTCGATGCTGTGGGCTGCGGAGGCAGGAAGGTGAAGGAGACTGCATGCCAGAGCTGGCAGCCGCGGAGAGATGCGCTGCCCACCGGGAAGTCCAAGCGTGGAGTGGCAACGTGTGGCTAGGAATAGCTCTAGAGAACCTTTTGGTAGAGCACGAGATCTTTGGAGACTGTTTGAGATAGTTCCTTGTAGTTTTTGTGTAGTCTTGCACTCTTCTAAGAAGTGTTGTGTCTTATGTCTGGACAACAAACGAAGCCCCGATCTCCAAGGCGACCACGACGAGGCAGGCACGTCGTCCTTCCACCAGCTCCGGGTAGGTCCTTTCTTTGGCAAGCCGTGCCAGACAGATTGCGGTTCCAGCTGTGTGTCGTTGGTGGCGAGGATAGGCACGACCTCGTCCAACTGGGAGGTAGCCATGTCCGGGGCTTAAACAGGCCTATTCAATGAAGGACGCGGTTGGGTTCGTGCTGTGAGTGGTGAGACAAGCGTGGTGTCGATCGCTAGCTGCGTCCCATTCCACGGCCGAAACCCATTGGCGATGACTTCTATTCGCCTTTCATCTGCGCGTGCGCTTGTGGTGTTCAGGTCCCGTAACATCACATTGTTGTGGGCACATTCATAGAGTCATCCATTGACCGAACCCACCACAACAAAATGGCAAGGACTTCAATTAGCAATTGGCTGTATTAATGCACATGCACGCAGGTTCTCTTTCGAATTGACTGTGCAGCCACTAAAGACTGTGGTTGCCCAATCATACGTGTTGTGTGTCGCGTGCTGTGGTGGCAGGCAGGCAAAGCCAAACCGAATAAGCAGAACCAAACAAGCAAACTGTGCCGAACAACTCTAATCCACGACGAATGTTTCCAAGCCAGAAGTCGTTGGAAGCAGTAAGGATGCGGGCGGAACTTTTTGCATCCAATGCAATGCGCCCACCTGAAACATAATGTCATAATTTATCTGGATGTTCGCCACCGAGGCCATAGGACGCAGGCTGTTCACCCCTAGGCGAGTGGATGCGTGTTTTTGACGGAGCCGCTGGCACACAAATTGCCGGAGCCTTGGGAGTGAGCCTCTGGCAATGCCAGGCAACTGTTTTATGGGTTCCCGAAGGCAACGTGCCAGGTGAGGTGTGACGTCAGGTGTGACGTCAGGTGTGACGTCAGGCATTTTGGTTGGATAATTTTTGGACGATTTTTGGTCTCGAATTAGATGGTGGAAAGGC